TCCCTGTGCCCTTGTCATGACGTCTATGGGGCGGAGCGACTATGTCCCGGTACAGGGCCTTACCCTTGCTCAAAATAATGGAAATTATACAATTAATACAGTTTGGTAATGTAAAGCAAGCATACCTCATTAAATTGAAGTATCAACAATGTATTGACGCGAGTAGATCGTCAGGCCCCTTGCTCTCAACGGGCAACTTGAAGGTTCACGAAAATAGATCGGAAGAATAAAATATGAACGATAACAATACTATACTAAATAATTATGAATATAAAAATTAATTAATAAAGCAGTAACACTGAATGAATGACAGCAATTTCGTACCAGAATCTGCAAGCTGGAGCGTAGTCAACAGTTCTGACATTTTGAACTCACACTGTGACCTTCATAAGTGTATCACAGTCCCTGTGCACATGCACATTACAAACACTGGCGGCGAACGAGAGGAACGGAAGTGAGAGCGCCGCCAGTGTTTGGAGTGTAATTCATATATGTCAACCTGACAGTGATTGGTCTACTTCGAATTTGGAATAAAAGTTTGACCTCAAGTCATGCATGTGGGTCCTCGGCTAGAACATCTCAGAACATCTGAGTTTCTTCTCTAGAGAATTCACGTACAGTAGAGTTTCCATATGGGGTGGCTTGATTTCAACATCTTCAGAATTTCCTATTTTGTGGCCAACGACGGTAAGTACACTAGAATTGCGACAAGTTTGATGTCACTAACCCGGTCACATTTGGATACTCGTGCATCTAGGGTATAGTCATTTGAAAAGTGCGGGGGGGGGGGGGGCTGGTGATGCAAATATTGATTCACAACTGATGTCATGTGAAAATTTTGCTTATAAAAAATAAAAAAATTATTCTTGAAATTTATATGTTTTCTTACATATAAATTTTGTAGTATTTGTATACCAATTTCTAATATAATACAAAAATTATAAATAACACATAAAGTAAAATAATACATATTTTCTTGGGATTACTACACAGTTATTTGTTATTTTCACTGGAATTAATTTTTGCTTAAAAAACTTGTTGGGTGTTTTGTATGGGATTTATTTTCACTGATTTTTGTCGAGATGAATGAAAAACATAGGAAAAAAGGTATATTCGCTGGATTTTATTTTCACTGAATCATTACTTCAGCGAAAATACCGTAGATGTCTGGGTGAGTGCCCAAGGTCCTGAACATGGAAAATTGCAAAAAAATAGGGGTGGGCTTATGCCCAGACATCCCCTGGAATTGATAACATGCAGATGGAACTGCGACAGGGAATTGAACGGCAAATGAAAACATGCAACGGAAATAAATGAACAATATGCAAGTATAACAAATATAATTTATTGCTTATAATGTGACAAGTAAACTAGAAATAATAAAAATAGACAGTGAGGAATCATTTGAATTAGGAAATGAATTAAAATGTCAGGGGTTAAAATGTGTAAAATTATTTCCAGTTTTGACAAACACTGGATCAATAGTCATACAAGATCAATAATTTACAAATTTACACAGTAAAAATTATGAAAGTTCACAGTTGTTTGAAAAAAATTATTCTCAGATCTCAATTTGTACGTTCATTGCCATCTTTGTCAAAGTCAATCCCTCAAAGTCGGCATCACCGTCCAACAAAATCCCTACAGCTTCGTCCTGAAGTTTGACCTCTAAGCATCTGCTTTACTGATTGGCTAAGAATGACATCACTACTAGTGTTTCATCATAGAGGTCAAGTCAACATTGCTTTCTTATCAGACAAGAAGCTCATCAATCATGGTGAAAGTTATCATTACCAAGTTCCGGCGATTGGAATGTCTCACTATATGGATATCACAGTGGGCTTGAAATAGGAAGAATTGTTTTTCTCCAACAACAGAAGAATAATTTTCATGACAGAAATGCAATAGCTGTGATGAAAGATGGTAAAAAAGTTGGCAGTCTTCGGCGTGACATTGCAAAAATCGCTAGCCACAGTTATGGATTTGCAAGCTGCTACTAAATATTTTATAAAGCCAAAACAACATGCTTTCAACCTAATGGCTCTTTCTAGGGTCATGACATATTTCATACTTGCTGACTGTTATGATGTGATAAAAGATTCTGAAAAATAAATTTAAATTACGTAAATCGATGAACGCACTGCACAGCAGAGCGCGAAATTACCTATTTTGCTGTCACAGCTATTTCGCGTTCATCCGTGGTTTGCGCAATTGACATTTTTCAAGAATTTTTATCAGAATCACAACAGACTGCAGGGATGTCAACAATAAAAATAGTTTTCGTTATTTTTTTGCCTTGCCCACAGTGTAGTGTAAACAAAGGGGATGGTATGGTAAGGGAAAGATTTTGCCATCGTTGTTGTTGGCGTGACTTGTGGGTGTGATAACTCAAGTAATTTTTACACGATCAGTTACAAATTTATATATGGTATGAACAAACATGCAACGATGACCAAGTTCGATGTTGGTACATTTTGCTTGCATAATTAATGAGAGATGGCTACTGATTGGTTATCTCTTGTGGGCACGATAACTCAAGTAATTTTTACCCGATCGGTTTCAAATTTATATACCGTACTTATCCGGGTAAGAGCCCACGCCGGGGCAAACGCCCACCCCCCACTTTTGACACAATAAAGAAGTTGAGGTCATATCCGGGCACACGCCCAGGGGGTCTTTTTCTACACAAAAAATAACAAAAAACGATTTTCTATTCGTTGACTGTGGTTGTATTAACAGTTGACTTTCTTGAAGTCTGTCATGATGCTTATAAAAATTCTTTAAATATAATCGTTAATTGCGTAAAACAAGGTGTGAATGCGAAATAGCTGTGACAGCAAAATAGGTATTTCGCTTTCTGCCTTCAGGGCAGCGCGTTCACCACTGATTTACATTTATTTTTCAGAATCATAACAGTCAGCAAGTCTATAAAAATATATATTAAAGCAGAAACAGTAGTTCTCTTTTTAGTCCCCGTTCGGACGCAGTCCGAAAACGGGGACTTATGTTTTGCCCTGTGTGCGTCCGTGCGTCCGTCCGTGATCACCTGTATCTCGAACATGCATGGACCGATTAAGTTCAAACTTCACTCATACATCACACATTATATGGGACATATGCACATGCATTTTTTTCATGATCTCATTAACGATAGCCAAATGGGGGCCGCTTTAAGGCCGAAAATGCATTGAAATCGCACATTTTCACCATTCCGGACCCGTATCTCAGTTATGCATGGATGGATTTTGTTCAAATTTGGTACATACATTAAACATAATAGGACCTTGATGCACGTCTTTTTTTTTTTCGGATCAAGTTCGAAATGGCCGACTGGCGGCCATTTTGTTAAAGAATTCAGTTCTGGATCCGTATCCAAGACATGTCTGGATTGATCAAGTTCAAACTTCACACACACATGGTACATCATGTCACAAATAGATATGTGCATTTGTTTCATGATCTGCTTAACAATAGCGGAATGATGGCCATTTTAAGGCCGAAAATGCATCAAAATCACGTATTTTCACAATTCCAGAACCGGATCTCAGTCATGCATGGATGGATTTTGTTTAGATTTAGCACAATGTGTTGTACATATGCAGGTGCATTTCAGTCATGATCTGCTTTGAATGTATATGTCACTCAAATATGAACGGAACGGGGACGTGTCATTGACAATGACTTGTTGAAATATGTCGTGGACCTAAAAAGGACCGGCCGTTTGGTTTGTGCTTTTTTTAGAAACGATTCAAGCAAATCGTATAAGAAGAGCCGCTAAGCAAGTGTCGCACTCGTTCAGCTTTAGCGTCGTCGACTATGAAACCAATGTTGCAATATTGTAGCAACCCATACCTGGGAGAGTGGTTGAAATCACGTTATTTTGGCTTCATAAAATATTTGGTAGCAGCTTGCGAATCCATAACTGGGGCCAGCAATTTTGCAATGTCACGCCGAAGACTGCAAACTTTTTTACCATCTTTCATCACCGCTATTGCATTTCTGTCATGAAAACTATTCCTCTGTCGTTGGATAAAAAAAAACTAAAAAAAAAAGCCCACCACGATATCCATATAGTGAGACATTCCAACCGCTGGAATTTGCTGAATGATAACTTTCACGGTGATTGATGAGCGTCGAGTCTGATAAGAAAGCAATGTCACGATTTGACCTTTATGATGAAATACTAGTAGTGATGTCATTCTTAGCCAATCAGTAAAGCAGATGCATAAAGGTCAAAGATGATTGCCAGACTGTAAACAAAAGCATTGTGTGCCATCGCAGCAGAGCGACCCCATTTTTCTTGTCTCTTTATTGTGATTAGACATGAATGAAAAGTGCCAAGCTGACAGACTGCAAAATCCGTGGATTAAAAGTGCTAAGTCCAAATTGTGTGGGACGATATCGACGAACTTCAGGAAGAAGTTGTAGGGATTTTGTTCGAAGGCTACAGTGATGCCGACTTTGACTTTGAGGGTTTTGAGTTTGACGAAGATGGCAATGAACATACAAATAAAGATCTGAGAAGTTTTCTCAAATAGCTATGAATTTTTATAATTTTTACTGTGTAAATTTGTAAATTATTATTGATCTTGTATGGCAGTTGACTCGTAATTTGTCGAGACCGGAAATCATTTTACGCAGTTTAACCCCTGACATTTTAATTAATTTTGAGTTCACGCGTATTGGGCATGTTTGTCGGCGGGAAAATCCTAATTCAAATGATTCCTCGCTGTCGATTTTTATTATTTCTGGTTTATTTGTAACATTATAAGCAATAAATTAGTTTTGTTTTACTTCTAATGTTGCATATTGTTCATTTATTTATGTTGCATGTTTTCATTTGCCGTTC